AGGGGAGGGCGGGCCTGCAGCCAGCCCTGGGCAATTAGCCCTCCCTCCCTCCCTCCCAGCCAGCTGGGGCCAATTTCACCATCAATTAGCAACAATTAGCAGCAGCTCTCCAGATAAGATAAAGGTGGGGCAGGGAGAAAGCCAGAGCCATTGACTGTAGCTATGATCATGGAGGGCTTTGTTTATCCCCCCTTCAGCACATACCAGAGCTTCAGGGGCAGCCTCCTGCCAAGCCCCAGCAGGGTCCCAACAGTGAAGCTCACACCAAGCCGTGGCGGGGACCCGGCTGTGAAGCAGCCCAGCTGGAAGCAGAGCAAGAGCAGTGGCATTAGCCCCTTCCTCGGGAGGCCCCTCACCCCCATGCCCTCTGACTACCTGGACAGCTACCGGCGGGCCCAGCTCCAGGCCCTGCTGTCACAGGTCAGCCCCGGGCTGATGCCGCGGCTGTGCCGGGCCAACACCAAGGAGGTGGGTGTCCAGGTCAACCTGCGGGCTGATGCTGCTGTGCAGTGCTCACTGGGGCCACGCACGCTGCCTGTTGGCTGCCCCCTTAGCCCCGCCGCCCTCTGCACCCATGGGCGCTTTGCCCTCTACTCACCCATGCCGGACCGCCACCTCTTCACCCTGCCTGAGGCCACTGGATCCCAGGAGAAGGAAGAGGCGTCTGAAACAACCCCCGAGGAGCAGAAGGTGGAGGACGGTAGCAGAGAGCAGCAGGAAGGCCAGGCAGAGGCCACTCTGCGGAGCGAGGAGGGGGCAGAGGTGCCACCGGAGGAGGCTGCAGGCCCCAGGCACCGGGCTGCCTTCCAGGTGTGTGGCACTGGGATGCTGGGGCCTGAGGAGAGGCTGGGAGCTGGTGCAGCCCCCTCTGGGCAAGAGGGGTGGGGTGGGGGTGAAACATGCAGCAGTTTGGGGAGAAATCTGCTCTTGAGTGGCGAAAGGCACAGTGGTCCCCATCCTGGCCTCGCGCTCAGGTCTGTGATCCCCAGGCAGCTCTACCTCCCTTGCAGCAGTGGAGCCTCCTGCCTGTGGTGTAATGAGGGCACTGGGCTGGGTGGGCTTCTGGTGCCGGAGGCTGCTCAGTGAACTTTCTCTCTGCAGTTTTTGGAGCAGAAGTATGGCTATTTCCACTGTAAAGACTGCAAGACCAGATGGGAGAGTGCTTACGTGTGGTGCATTTCTGGAAGCAACAAGGTAGTTAACAGGTCATTTCTTGCTCCCAAGAGTTGTAAGAATGGCACCAAATCTGTGACAAATCAGATGCTTTGGCACAAATTTAGGCACCTGTACTGAACACCCTGAGTAAGTCTCTATAGTAACTGAGAACTTGCTCTTTTCAGGTGTACTTCAAGCAGCTCTGTCGCAAATGCCAGAAAGGCTTCAATCCCTATCGTGTGGAAGCAATCCAGTGCCAGGTAAGTTACAGACTTCTGTATCCTGGTAAGACTGCTGGAGTTTGTCGTGTACTCTAATAGTTTACAGTTGCTGAATTAGATATTGACTTTCTCTGGAAGAGAACTTGCTTTCATCAGAGTACTAGCAAATGTTATTTGGGAAAGGTGTAATGGGTTAGGACTCTCTCTCACGGAGGGCTTACATGAATGGTTTTCTGTTCATTCAGTGTTATGCCTAGTTACATGTGGGGTAGGGTTTTGTGCTTCTGGGTGAGAAGGCTCTTACAGCTTAACTCTGCAGGGTTTTTACCACAACAGCTCTTTTAAGTGTATTGGCTAATGTGTTGCTATGATTAAGGAAAGCTAAATGTCAGTCTAACATGGAGTGAGCACCTTTGATCTACTACTAATAAAATGCCTTGCTTCTTAAGACCTGTTCAAAGACTCGTTGTTCCTGCCCTCAGAAGAAAAGACACATTGATCTCAGGAGGCCTCATCGCCAAGAACTTTGTGGCCGCTGCAGAGGCAAGAGGCTGTCCTGTGATAACACTTACAGCTTCAAATACATTGTCTGATCCCTGTGCCCTCTTCTGTCTTGCACTTTGCACTTTGTCAGTCTCTTGTGATGTTTTGACTTTAGGCTTTTGACCTGGCATTGGATAATGGATAAAGACTTTTGTATTATTTATAAAGTATAGGACTTCACTGTATATATGCTGTGAATAAAGTTCAATAAAAGTTTGCAGTAGTTTGTTACCCCTTAGTTTCATCTTGCTAGGATGAAAGAGGCAAGTGTACCTGGTAGGAAACTACCTGTTTGATTTCCTAAAGAAAATGGAGTTTGTTTTCAGTCTGCCTTTAGGGAATGCTAAGATTAAAACTGCAATAGCAAGTTTCTTACTCAGTCACTCAAACTGAACTCGTTTGCAAGGTGCAAATGTTCTAGAGCATAAAGTCTGGGGTAAATGCGTCCCACTGCCTCTGCCAAATGTATAAAAAAAATCACAGCACTCTGAGAATCAAAGACTATATGCCAGAAGACTATGTTTGTAAGATATGAGGGAAAAGTGTAAGCTTCATGTTTTTTCCAAGTGGGGAGGGGAAAAAACCTTTTGACCTGGGGGATCTGTGATGGAGTGTAACAAATTCTCTAGACTTGATGTGTCCCAAAAGAGGTAGAACAAGTCCCTGTGCCCCTGATTCAAATAAAGGTTCATGTCTCAGAATCTCTCCAGGTGTGTAAGGTGTCTCCAGGGCAGGTGGCTTAAATGTAACTGAAGGGAGTAACTGAATGTGCTTTCATGGTGGCAGAATGCAGTTGGAGGAATCTTAATTAAAGTACTGGTGTTGTGGAAGCACAGTTCATGTTCTCCTAGGACTCCCCTAGGACTCCAGTGAGGCTTTACTGACTTCTACTCTACCTGAAGTTTAGAAATGATGTGAAGAAAGCCAGATGGCTACTTCATGGGTTTTGTTGTATCTGTGAAGAATCATAGAATACTTTAGGGTGGAAGGAACCGCTGGAGGTCTTCATACTCAGTCGAGGACTGATTGAATCAAGTTCCTTAGGGAACTCTACCTGCAGGACAGTAACAAGTGGCGTACAGTGGTGGTCTATCCTGGGACCTGTCCCATTCAGCGTCTTTACCAGTGACCTGAAAGAAGCAACAGTGTGTACTTGTCAAGTTTGCAGGCGACACCAAATTGGGGGGACCAGCCAATACAGCTGCAGGCAGTGCGGCTGTTCAGAGGGATGGGCCAACAGGAGCCCTGTGATGCTCATCAGGGACAAGAGGAAATTCCTACTCCTGGGTGGGCAGAACCCTTTGCAGTAACACAGACAGGAGACTGCCTGGCGGTGGGGGGTGCTCACTGGAAAGCACCCTTGGGATTTGGTTGGCAGTGACCTGGGTGTGGAGGTGGCAGTGGGTCCTGGCAGCAAAGGGCAGCAACAACACCCTATACGAACAGAAGCAGAGCGGGGTAAGAGATTGTCCCCCTTTATGTAGCACTCTGTAGACCACATCTAGATTACTGTATCCAGTTTCAGGCTCTCTGTATGAGAAAGATGTTGACCAACTGTGAGGAGTTCAGTGGAGGCCACCAAGCTGGTCACAGGGCTGGAGCACTTGCTCTGTGAGGAGGCGTTGAAGGAACTGGGCTTGTTCAGTCTGAAGAAATGAAGACTTCAGGGGGACCTAACAGGAGCCTGACAGGTTATGGTTATTGAAGAAAGATGGAGCCAGGCCCTTCAGTGTGGCTCATGGTAGGGGTATGAGAGGCAACATGCATAAGATGAAACAAGATAGGTTCAGACTGGGTAAAGGAAAAGCTTTTCCACCATGAGGACGGTAAAGTAGAACAGGTTGCCCAGGGAGACTGCGCACTCTCCATCCTTGAATGTTTTTAAGACCCAGCTGGGTAAAGTTCTGAGTAACCTGATCTGATCTCATGGCTGACCTTGCTTCAAAGTAGAGGTTGGACTAGCTGACCTCCTCGTGTCCCTTCCAACATGAATCTTACTGTGATCTGTAAAATATCCATGATTTTGCCAAGTGATAGAGCAGATCTCACCTTTCACCAACCACTAAATATTTTTGCAGGCCACCCTGATTACAGTTCTGAATAGCTTTCTAAAGGGAAATAACCTAACTGAAATTCGAAGACTTCTCTAACAATTATGGATTAATTTACTCAGAAAAATAGCTGTGTGATGAATGGCATTTATTTTGGAAATGATTTGCCTTGCATCTATTTTGTTCTGCAACTACAGCTATGCTGCAGAGCTCTGTAGACCGCAAAATCAGAAAACCTATAAAAGAAGTCGTTTCCACCCCTTTTATGCATCAATGTAAGTGTTTTTCAAGATCCACGTAAAATTGTGCAAGCATTTTGAAAGTGAAAAAGGGGTGAAGGGGAGAGGGATTTACTGAATTCTCAGAGCCGAGGCTGATACATCAGGCTGGACAGCTTTTCTTTTACCTTTAGCACGAGGAAAAAAAACACACTGAAAGCCAACACTGGAGCAAATAGGACCGTTACTGATGTTTTGAACAGAAACAAAGCTTCAGCTCCATTTTGGATTTTTTTTCAGTTACGAAACCGCTTTAGTCAATGTACTCTTCCTGGTTGAGTTGTAACTACAGACTGCCAAAAAATCCTTACATTTCTCACTGGTTTCTTTCAGTGTAATGAACACTGTAAATGATGAAAAAGGGGTCTTTGGGGGGCTGCTGATCACGGATACCATCCTCAACTATAAATTCAGACAAGAACACATCTTTGCAACAAGCACATACTCTGCTGTGGTTATATATGACTTTTATATTTTAGTTAAATGGATGTACTGATCCAAATATCAACCAAAGTTACTTCACAAAAACGGTAAGTGTATTTACAGAGTGAATAAGTTACATAGTTGTCAGAATAAAAGTGTCTCAGATGTGCAAGAGATTTACATGCATACATTTAACACTGGACAGCAGTTAAATGTAAGAAAAAACCATACAGATATGACTTTTATATATACATTACAAATAAAATAAGACATCTGTTTAAAGAAACTTACCATGAGAACTTGCATTTCACGTTAATATTTTTACTTTTTATACTCAAAATTTATATTAAATAAAAATATGCATGCACAACAGTTCAAAAGATTTGACTCTGTGATGGGACTTTCTCCTACAAAATGGCAAGTAAATTAGATCAACCATCCATTAATAGTATAAATATATTCATAAAAGCAACCCTCTAGTAAAAAGCAGCCAAGGTCCTTAAAAAAAAACCAAAAAGAAAATCTAGCAAGACCATCCATGATGCTTGGGGGCCTAAGAACAGACCTCTGCAATATGATCCAGTACCTTCAGAGACAGTAGCCTAGTAACATTAGGAAATGTACTTCATAGCAGCTCATTGTTTTAAGATACAGTAATCATATTCAAATTACAGTGTACATTAAACTGTAGTCCATTTACAATTTGTTTCATATATACAGGCTCTCAGCTTTTGACCAACAAGTTTGCGAGATTCTGTGGCCAGCTTCATTCTGCCCATCTTTCACTCAACCGAATAAGAGAAAAAAAGGAAAAAAATGTACAAGTTGGGTTTTTTTTTTAACAAAAAAATATTATTTTGTGAAGGAAACATTGCACTTTTGCCAACCTAAAATAAAGGAAGTATTGTTCAGTGTAGTAGGCTTTGGTATGCAATGGAAGTCACTTCTTCAGTAGTGAGTTGCAGTTGCTCAGTGAAATGCTAACTGGTTTTTGTGCAACAGAGAACAAAGGATGTTGTCCTGGGTGCTCTATGCTACCTTTGTCCTTACAGTATTGCTACACATTTGAAGTTCAGCCCGTATCTTTTTAGAAGAAATCCTAAATGTAACAAGAGTGAGTACAGTTTGACCAAACCTTTGTAAGGCTGAGAAGACATTGAGCCACCTCACTCCAACAGGGCAGCACTCCCAGCTTGCCAGAGGACACGCGAGTCCTGTCAGAGACTTGTGCCGGAAACGCTGGAGTCTGGAAGAAAAGTATTGATGACCCGGTAACTCTGAGCTCTGCGAATCATGTCGCGGATCTCTATATTCAGTTCCATTAATTTGGTACAGATTTCAGTCAGGCTCTGGTTGGAGCCCACCAGTGCATAGGTGCCTGTCTGACCCAAGGTTTGGTGCCGGAAGTAAATGTTCAGTAGTGTCTGGACTTCATCGTCAGAGCTACTTCCAAAGATATCATTGGGCCACAAAATCCTGCAACCAAACAGGAAAAGAATGTGCGTATCATTAGGGGTTTATTAGCAAAGACGGAAACGAGGAGATAGAGAACTCTAAAAGGAGAACTGGCTGGCACATGCTTATAACCCAGAAGCAACTCGCTGTTTTATGCTACTCATTTGTTACTCAGACTCTGGTATCAGGCACAGAAATCACATAAAAGTGCAATTCCTATCATCTGAGAAAAAAAGCTTAAGAAAACTCATTCAAATAAGAGAAAGTGAAACTGGGCTGAATCTTAGCTGTGACATAGTGACATACACCTGTAAGGAATTAGCTCTATAGAAAGATTATTAAGAGCCTCACAGAAGTACTTTTGATCTATGCAATATAATTAAACACCTTGATTGCTGCAAGCATACATGTTTATTACATACATGTGTATTACTGATTCAATATTGTGACTTGTGGCACACCCCTGTGAAAGTTAATAATGTCGATGGCCCCATGCACCTTGTGGAAACATTAAATGAGTTATGCTGACTCAGCACATTACATTTAGTATAAAGTTAGGAAGCTAATAAACACATGCTATTCTATTAACATGAAAGTCTAATAGGAACCATGTAGCAAAACTTGCCTGCATTCTCTTATTTGCCGGATGGCTTTAACAAGTTCATTGTTTTTCAAACACTCCAGCATGGACTGAATAGCTGCTTCCGTAGAATTGAAGGTGGGCTCAGATTCTGTCATCAGAGGCTCAGCTGCAATTGCAGCAGTAGCATCCTTAAGGTTTTTCTTCAACTCACTCAGTTCTCTTGACATATTTAACAGCTGTTCCAAGGAGAAAGATGAGAG